GTCACTAGTTTGTAAATGCATAATACACTGGTTATTATGATGCCAGAACAAAAAGCATTCATTTCCTGAAACACAGAACATACAGAAAAATGTAATAGGTTATTGTAGTGTGTCTTTTTTTTTAGTAATATTAATGTTTTACATAAATTATGCAGATAAGCGAGGAAGTAAAAAAGGAGGAACCTGTTGAAAAAGTTGAACCAGAAACGAAGAAAGAAGAAGTGCCAACGAAGGCTTCCATTTCGGAAAAGATTTTGCAAGAAGAAATGAGTGAAAAACGGGTAATTGTTGAGAGATTTTCTCTCCTCTTTTCCTTATTGATTCGGAAGTTAGTAGATGGATTTCCTTTCTCCCTTTATGGATTGGGAAGTAGACGGATCTTAAAAAAATGTTTTAAAGTGCGTCTTTGTAGAATTTGTCAACCAGTGCTATTCGTTTCATAGTTTCAAACATAGTGTTATGTTTTTAGCGTGAACAAGAGGAGGCCGGGCAAACACAAACCCTGAGCAAGAGAAAACTTCGTCTGTCTATGCAACCGACTATTGCTGAACTGAAAGAGGTATTCAGAAGAACGTATTTGTTTATTTCTAAGTCACGCATTTCAGTTATTTGTTGTGACTGAGTTTCTGCGTACTCGAAGATATAAAAAAGAAAAATAAGTTTATTTTTTTCTCCTCAGTTGCACAATTTTTAAGTATAGACAGGTTAAATTTAAAATGTATGTTCGTATACCCATCTTTGATATAATTACTGTGTGGCGCTTAAATTTTTTCTTTACAACCACCATATTAGATGTTACATAATATTTCAGGTCACAACACGACCAGATGTAGTAGAATGGGCAGATGTCACTTCACGTGATCCTCATCTCCTGGTTACATTGAAAGCGTATAGAAATACAGTACCTGTACCGAGACATTGGAATGCTAAGAGGAAATATCTGGCAGGCAAGCGGGGTTTTGAAAGACCTCCGTTCGACTTGCCCGATTTTATCAAGAGGACGGGTATAATGGAAATGCGTGAAACAATGTGGGAAAAAGTAAGTTCCTTCATATTTTAATCTGAGGTTTTTGAACGTTCTTTTTTTTTTTTAACTTAAACAAATTTGCATCACTTTAATTGCATCAGTCCTATGAATATGGCAACAGAAAATTTATAATTGAAGTTTCCTTCTTTCAATATGACACGACACGTCATGTGTCGCTTAGGTTTTTACTAATAATTTCCTATTATTTACTTACCATTCTTTATAGGAAGATGCTCAGTCGTTAAAGTCAAAGATGCGTGAACGTGCAAGACCGAAACTTGGCCGTATTGATATCGATTATCAAAAGCTGCATGATGCTTTTTTTAAATGGCAAACAAAACCTGTGATGACTCAGATGGGTGAATTGTATTATGAAGGTAAAGAGCTGGAAACAGTCATGCGTGAGAAGAAACCAGGCGAACTGACCGATGAACTACGAGTTGCTCTAGGGATGCCTGTTGGTCCTGTAAGTGTCATTCAACACTCATGAAGTTAAAATTCTCTTAACATAAGTTACTGGTGTTATTTCTTATCTTTCAGAACGCGCACAAATTTCCGCCCCCCTGGTTGATTGCAATGCAGCGGTATGGACCACCACCATCATATCCGAATTTGAAAATACCAGGATTGAATTGCCCCATTCCTGAAGGATGTGCATTTGGTTATCATGCTGGTGGATGGGGTAAACCTCCGGTCGATGAAATGGGAAAGCCATTGTATGGTGATGTATTCGGCCTTGAGGTTGCAGTTTAATAATTAATAATTGTCAAATTGCATTTTTACAATTTTTTTCGCTGAAAATTACATTTTCAATATCCTTAACGGAAGAATGTTATAGAAAACTTTTAAAATTGCTTGTATATGTGTTACTTTGAATTGGTTGTCTAGAAAGTTATACTTATGTATTTAGTGTATGAATCTTCATGAAAGCCTTTTTATCTAGTAACTTGTCTCATTGTTTAGTGTATATGTTATGTTTATCGTTTCTATAGAATTTTTTAACGTTAATATTTTGCATTTGGCTCCATTTTTATAAACATGGTATACTTTTTCAGGCTCCAGCTTTGCCAGAATTGGATGACGAATCACGAATAGAACGACGGCATTGGGGTGAAATAGGTAGTGATGAGGATTCTAGTGAGGAAAGTGAAGAAGAGGAGGAAGGTGAGGGTGGTGGGGTTGAAGCAGGCTTCGTTACTCCTGCTACTACAGAAGGGTTAGTTCTATTTGTGACTCAGTATTGTATGATGTTAAGGATAGAAAATTAACATCTAACGGAATGCAGCTGACTCAAAAGTTTTATGTTTCCATTGTTTGTAAAGAAGAAAAAATTACTTCGTTGGACCTGCATCATTTTATTTCCAAATTACATTAGTAGTAGTTCAAAGATAAGGAGATGATAATCTTTTTTCTTTTAGTTTTGCAACACCATCAGGAATGACTTCGGGTGTTCTTACCGGTGTTGAAACTCCGGATACCATTGAATTGCGAAAGGGCAAGCGGATAGAAGACAGGTTTCTTGGGTTTTCAACATTTTCGTCTTCTTTAGTTTAGCAAATAAAGAAATAAAATAAAATTCGGTTTCGGATAAGACGCGAGGGCATAATAGTTCAGGAAAAATAAATACTTGAAACGTGTTATGCTGAGTTACTGTTAAAGAGAATAATTTCTGGGATGCTTTTTAATTTACTAAGTCCTGTTTTAAGAAGTTGAAAATCTGTAGTTTAAATAAAAATTTTAGCAGCACAACAGGTGGTGAAACTCCTGCACCAGCACTCTATACGGTACTTCAAGAACGTAAGATTGATCGTATCGCGGGACAAATGATGGCCAGCACTCATGTTTATGATTTGTCGGTGAGTTTTTATTCAAGAGCCTTTTGTTTTGTTTTGTTTTGTTTTTCATCTCATACCTTTTCTTTCTTAATGTATTCATCAGCAGAATAGTGCTTCTCCAGCTTTTAAATAGGATAATGAAATTCGGGTATTTTATAGATGGAATTTCTATTACTGTCTACTTTTTTAGAAAAAACCGACTCCGGCACCCGCATCGCAAGGAGTAGATGCTGGAGTAGAAGTATCGTTGAATCCTGAAGACCTTGATCTAGCTGATCAAAAGGGTCTGGAGAAGAAGTATGAAGAACAGTTGCGAAAACAGACTCGTGGACGGCAGGACGATGACGAAGATTTCTCAGATATGGTGGCTGAGCATTCTGCTAAACAGAACGTTAGCGATAAAACTTTACTTGCTTTTCCCTTCTTTGTCTGTTCAGCTCTGATTTTAATTGTTTTGCAGCGTAAAAGAAAGGTACAGGAACAAAAGAAATCAACGCAACAACAGAAGAAGTATAAAGATTTCAAGTTTTGAAATAACACATTTTTCTCCTTTTTCCTTATGTCTCTTGATTGTTTATTAATGATATTATACCATTTTATCGAGTCGTTCAGTTTAAGACTCGTACCTCAGATCTTAAACTTATTGTAAATTTGTTGTAGATTCCTTGTTTATGAGAATCATAAGTCGGTAGTTTTCCTTCCCAAAAATCGAGGTGGCCTTTCTTCTTTTTGGTACTGGAAAAAACTATCTTTTGTTTTGATAATGTACAACTCATCTCACCCCCGTTCCAGATGCATTCAAAAAGGTCCAAGTCCATAAAACTATGGTTTAATCGGTAGATTTTTGCATTTTTATTACGTAAAGTTGTATATTTTCACTCTTCGTTCTGAACGAATGTTATAGTTTGCAAGCAAAAATTAAACTTGCAACACTCCATTTAATATTAAAACTATTCAGTCGCTCAACAATGATGTTAGTCAGTAAATTTCTCGTCTCGAGACAACACTGGATTTAATCGAGGAAGTGGCATAGATTAAAATTAGATTTTATTTAAGCAGTCAGCAGCTCCATGAGAAACGAGAAGATAGCAATGATTATACAGGTCGTAGGAAAATTTTTGCAAGGTTTTACACGTCTTTTTTATGATGTTAAATTGAATTTCTCTCGTCTCCCAATAAAGAAAGAGCAACATAATTTAAATGAGATTAAATGCACTGGTAGGAGGAATCCCCGCCGCCTTAAACAGTCCAGAATCTCTGGTAATTTTCGCTATAAATTTTCACTTCCAAATTGTATGTCAGGAAAGGGCTCTTTCTTGGTGGGTTTTTCTTGAGTCTCCTAACGGTTTACTATTCACTGGAAGACGTAAAGTGCATCACTTATTTGATGCGAATGTCCCAAGTTGGGATTTTGTTTCTCAAACTAAGGAAGCGATGATTGGTTTGGAAGTTTGTGGTACGATCACGTAGTGGAGGAAAGTGTGAGCTGCAGAAACATAAAATACGGAATAAAGAAATAAACGGAACTCAATTACTGTCATCAAATGTTGCCTGCCCTAGAGTTTAAACACAGCGGTATTTTCACTTTCGTTGTTTGAGCTATAAATCTTGAAGAATCAATTAGATGATTTACCTTATTCACCTATCAAACTATTCGGTAGTTTTTTTTGATCGATTTGGAAGTACATTTTTATCACAGCATGTACATTTATGATGAGGGTGTATACGATATGTGACAAATATTTGTGTTTAAATTTGCTATTCTCAATAGTCAAGGAACTAATGAAATCCTCAAATTTGTCTAATACGTAATACAAATCAAATGGTACTCTTTATTTGTATGTATCTATAAATGAGCACTGTTGCTGTGAACGTTGCAACATGAAAAGGATGGCAAAGGAAAGAATGTATGGATATCTTTCTTGCTATCATTATCGTAACTTGAGCGTATCTGTACTATTTTATCCGAGAATTTTGTGGAGCTATTAAATTATTAAATTACATCTTTCAAACTTATTAGCTGTTCTATCCGAAATCGATGAATTCACACACGTATTGCTAATATTTCACATGTAACTTCTATCTAGAAATTTAATAAATTTAGATAAACATGGACAATTAGATAAAGAAACACGGGATCAACTTTTTTTGGAAAGCCACGCCATCACTGCCGGATGATTAGGCATACTTCTCAAATATTCTGCATACTTTTCTCGAATAAGCTTAAATGCTTCAGGAGTTGCAAATGGTAAACCAGTTAATGGGTCGCGATACTTTGCGGGACGTGATGTTACACAACAAAGCAGTTTTACCTGAAATGATCTTTCGTGCATACTAATAGAACGACATTGATATGAAAGAGATACGAATGTAAATTCTAGTGATTGATGATAAGAAGTGTTATGATGCAAGTAAAATAAGTCTTCTGTTCATTAGAAATAAATTATTTCCATTCGGTTGGAAAATAATGACATATAAAAATAATATGGAGTTGCATGCTGAATTTCTCGGAATTGAGCAGCAGGTATAAAATATATAATTTCTTGTTATCCTCACACTGCACTGAGATACAATTGCTTTTTAGATGTAAGTGGCGCAATGAGGAATTTAATGGATAGAAAAAATTTACCACTCTTTCTGGTTTTGTAAATTTTTTGATCTCTGGAACAATCATCCATTTGCCATTTGGGCCATCCATAGTACTAATGTAAGGTGGTTTCAATTTCCTAATAACATTTGTTTTTTCACGTTTCTTTTTCTTTTCCAGCTCGAACTGTTCATATTTCTTTAACGATGCAACATTTTTCCGTTCTGTTTCCTTGGCTTCTTCCAAATATTGTGCCTAGAACAGAAGCGTGATCAAAGTTAAGCTAAAATAAACATCTCGATTTTTGATGATGAATAGCCTTTTTTACAATTATTCTAGACATAAATCTTAATGCATACAAAAATAAGGAATAATATGAGGACGAAACATACCTGAGTTTCAGGACTGACAGTATTGGCGACTGCAGTAAGGCAACCCATTCGTGCCATGACCCATTTTTTGTTTTTCTCTAACAAAGCTCTCTTCGAGGCACTACCACCCAGTTTCGGTTCCTAAGAAAATCGAACAATCTTCAATAAAATGTATCTAAAACCAATTCATAGTTGGAAATCAAACAGAAGTTTGTTTTTACTCTTTTGAACTACTAGAAAAGATAATTATATTATTATTAATATTTATAGTAAAATTACTTTATAACCAGTTTTTCGTTTCCGTCGTTTGGATTCTTCTTCCGCATCGCTAATTGGTTCGTCTTCCTCTTCAGGATGATCGAAGTCAGAATCTACTTCATCATGATCCGATTCCACTGGTGATTCGAATGCATCATCAACATCATCCTGAAAAGGAATGAAAAATGATTCAGTAGTTACCCAAAAACTTCAATAGCAAAAAGAATTTGAAGTGAAAAACCTTACTTGAAAAGTAGCAAACGGTAATTAGTCTCGTAGTGTTCTAAAATGCTAAGTATCTAAATAGTTTACATTTGAGTCAGAGCAAATAAAACAAAGAATTTTTCTCTTGAAAAATCAATAGCAATAAAAATCGTGATCTGCAGGTTTCCATTTGTAAGGCATCAGCACTTAAGTGCTGCTTTTTTTACATACACTTGTTAATATGTGAAGTAAAGTCCAGACCTACTTGACTGATAGTTAAGGAAAGAAGAAAAAGAACTACCTCAAGAAATCTACCACCATAGGTGTTCCTGTAAAATTCATCTTCTAGCTCGGCGGATTCCAACAACTGTGCCATCTTATTACCAGCGTTTGCACGTTTCTCACGAGTGGTAACCATAAGTTCAACACTTTCTTCTCCACTACTGCTAGCTTCACTTCTGCACAACATTTCATTTCGATTTTTCTCAATAAGACTTACGAAATGCCAAAATAAAAGTACTTTCTACATTGATGTTGAACAATAGATCCCGTATGATGGAAAACAAAAATTCAACATCAGATATGTCCCAAAAAACTTTTACCTCCATAAAAGGATACTTCCCATTTTTTGTAATAAATTTTCAAATGCAAAACCTATTAGAATAAAAAATATAGGAATACTTACTCATCATCATTGTCACTGTCATCTGCATTACCACTAACTTCCATATGTTCCATTTCTTCTTTCTATTCTTCCTCACCTTCAGACTCTTTTTTATCACCACTTTAAGTTTTTCTCTTTCTCTCTTCTACAACCTAAAAAGAAATCGACAAGTTATAACATCAATCTAAATAAAACTACATATTATCAGAGAATTATCTAAAACCATCTAACAGTTATATTACACCTCATTATATAAAATAATCAAGTTTGGTAATACAAAAGAGTTGAATGAAATCTTCAGTCACAGTTAAACAGCACTATAGCAGTTCTTTGCTAATAAATTTCCTTAACTCTTGAATACTTTCAATTTCTAACAATATGTTATTTCACTTCATAAACTTCCGCTAAAGATTCTGCATTTCTACAACTCAATCGTCGATTCCTAGCGTAACAGACGACCTTACTAAATATGTAAACAAAAACAAAGTCATCTCGAAATAATAATGAAAATTACAAATTAGCGGTTTGAATCTTTCGAAACACGTCTGATTCTTTTCCTTTCTCTCCATCCCTGACTCCCACGTGGCGTATATTGATTCAAGTTACATTTTTAATCTCTGCCACAGCTCTGCTTCCTAGAAACATCCTATATTTTAAATTACATCAATCTCTGCTGTCTCTCAAAAATCGCTATATTTCTCGACGTCATTTGTCTCTGGACCTTATCTTGAAGCGTTATTTCCGATTTATCTTTTTTAATCTCTAGCATCTCCATTTATATTTTATATGTTAAATCTCATCCATCTCTGCTATCTCTCCCATGCTATTCCTCAAGTTCCTGGTACATTAACTGCTACTGAAAGGAACTGTCACAAGACTGACTGTCGCAAGATTGACCGGACGGTATTCTGTTGTGCGGGGCGCAGTTGGCTCCTGCGGTTCTTGGCTTACTTTCGCGATAGTCTTTTGGCCTTTAGATTGTACCAAAAGGATATAATATGTACACTAATAAACCAAACAGGCTGATAAATCATCGTATTGAGAACAACGTGTCAGGCTATTCTCTTGTATAAAATGTAGTAATAGAAAGATAGGCATTGAATTTATATGCTATTCATCAAATTGCTAGAAGAAAATTGAGAATTACTTTCACCCAATAGCCATAGGCATCATAATCAGAAAGTGTTCAGAGGCTACTACCATTGCTATTCTCTTCTTAAAAGTCATTAATTATCGAGAAGTACTAGTTGACAGTAAATAAAAAGATCCGAGAATGATGTATTGTCCTCTTTGCTATTACAATGGGTTTTTAATGAAGTACCTTCGAATTATGACCTGTTGCACTACACAACCATATTCTAGGTTACCATTTGATTGGAATCGATGGTACGTTTTCGCTTTTCTCCATTTGCCAATCGTTTACTTCCGGTATCAGAGACCGCACTACCAGAGGTAGATAAATTTTGCAAGTATTTGTTGACAGGACTTGATTTTTGAGGTTAATCCGTTCGTAAAAGATAGAAGTTGCGCAAAATAAAGTAGATAGAAAAATGAGAATTGAAGTATATAAGTATTTATGTCAGCGTTGTGTAAAACTGTTTATTTGAAGGTTGGATTGTCACAAGGGGTTAGTGTGCCAAGTAAAATACTTCGAGAATGTGATGTAGCCAATGTAAAGTGGAGTATCGGTCTAAGCAGTCAAGAGTGTCAACAGGTTGGCTCACTGCATACAAGTATTAAGGCTTCTGTTGTTCCTGAAATAACCGTAGGTGGAGGAGCTACTGGCAGTGGAATTTCTGGGAAGAAACCACCTCCTGTTCTTGAATGGAATCCGCTTGTTCATACCGAATGGCAACTAGGCGTTAGTTCTAATTTATTATTGTTGTAAAAATGAAAACTTTGCATTGCAGTTGAGTATTATACCCTATGTACTACTTATTCTTCATGGAATTGTGCTCAATGTTTTAACATTTAGCATTTAATACTTTCCGGTTATTTTGGAGTTATAATTTTTTCCCTACAGATATGTTGGTTTTCAATATTAAGTACTTTTCAGGTAGGAGGACGTCTGTTGCCAAAACTACCGGAAGGAACGAAAGTAGGTAAGCTTGTGATGGGCAAATATGGTCTCTACAAACCAGGATTGCATGAAATATCCCAGCAATTCTTTGTAAGTTAATGTTTCGAATCCTCTTAGAAATGCTCTTAAAAAATTAGAAATCCTCTTGAAAATTAAACTTAGTGCGTTGAACAGTAAAAGTTCAAGACAGAGAGATATGCTTTTTTTATTCCTATTATATAAGGAATTCAATTCCTGTAGTAGATTCTAATTTTGCAATAAGTTTGCCGTCAGTTTTTTCTATTGTTCATCCAATTAATAATTTTTATCCGTTTTCCAATGTTCCTTTCTCTACTGGGAAAAGCTTAAAGAATTTCCACAAAAATTTAGGAAGTTTTGACTCGTTTGAAGTGCATTAAGAAACACTACTTCTACGCAGTTTCATGAACTGAGTTTCACTGCATTTCTGACTGAGTTGGAGGCTGCACGTCACTTTTTCAGTCGTCTGGTATAAACTTGGTCGATTTTAGTTTATTTCTGTAACTCTTTACTTATGGGACGGGTTTATGAAGTCATTCCTTTCTTGGTTTTTCTTTTTTTTGTCTACAACAAAATGCATAAATCGTCTTTTTCAGATTAACACCGAGTTGAAAGGTATGGCACCCGAAAATGCGCTACCTTTGTCTGCTCTCCTTAGCAAGATAGCTAAAATACTCGCAATAATACCACTAATGTCCGTCCTTCTCAGTATTCCGACATTACTTGCACAGAAGCCAGTGGGTATTTATGCTGGATACGTCCCGCCAGGTCGAAAGTAATATATTCTATTAACAGATCAGTGAAGTTATATTTGTACCATTTTGTGAGAGCAAACTAGAATAGTTTGTATTCCGAAGGGGCTTAGCTTTTGAACTTTTGTTGCCGAGACGGGATCTTTTTAGTTATTAATCATTTACATAGATAGGTTATTACAATTTGTATTCATTAAGATGCGATCTGTATCGTATGCATGAAAGTTTAAATGATTCAGCGATTGAATCTTGCTGATAATGTTTTTCTTTTTGTATGCGATTCGCTGTATCATGTTATATAATATGAAATAAAGAATCTTTTTTTATCATTATTAACAACATAATTTGTATGCTAGCCTGCAAGCAGCCTTTGGGTGGTTTTGTGTTATTATACATCACTGTTCCAGTGAATGTTGTTGATCTAATCTAAATGCCGAAATTCTAGTCACTGAATTCCATGAAATCCTAGTTTTTATGATTGCTTACTAAATAACGATGATCTGGTGCTTTCTGTGCAGTCTGCCCCGTATATAACCGATTAAATTAGAATTGTGTTAACTCATTTATTGCATCGGTTTGTTCATAGTTTCCTAACCTAGTCTTTGAGGATGTTAGAGGATTCTAGTGCTTCGATTATTTTATATATTTTATTTTATTTTCACGAACAATTTAGTTCATTAAATAACCAATTACTTTAACATATTTGTTTAAGAGTGCTCTTCGTTATTCCGATTAGTCAGAAACATGGCTATAGGCTGTGGCAATTAAAATATTTTGTGGACAAGGAATTTTTGTCACTCTTATTCGTATGAAACGTCGGAACAGTTTGTTTCTTCCATCAAGAAGTGATTTCGGGGATACCGAAGGTGTCGAGATTGCTACCGAGATGGCGCCAAGTGAACCGCTCCAATTATCACGGGAGCTGATTACCGAGCATATTATCATGTCTGAGTAGTAAGTTTTGTATAATTTTCCATATATTTATATATTATTCATAATACTTGTTACAGTGCGATGATTTGCCGAGATCCAATAGATGGTTTATATGCAGTACCGAGTGCTCGAAACAAGTTCGGTAATTCGATACTGTTCTTTCCTCCATATGTATCTGTTAGAGTGTATGTTTTAGTGCATCATTAAATATGGCATTAACATTTCATTCTGTAATATTGTCTTATGAGGAACAAAATCTTTAGTTGCGGAATGTTTTACGTAAATCATATTGGACGTAACAAAAGAAAAAAAAAAACCTTTATTGCATATAAGCTAGCCTCACAAATCATAACACTGACCAATATGTTCTTTTCTTTGTTTATTGTCTGAACTTTAAATTTGTTTGTGTTGTGTTTGTGTTGGTGAAACTTATTTCATCATAGATACTGCTGTTGTGTATTGTGTATATTTCATCATTTATGGAGGCAGATGTATGAACAGCTGGACTAACACTTCAGTTTTGAATTTGTCTTGAATAATCTGCTTTTTGATCAGTTGCATTTTACCCTGTTTTAGAATGGTTCGGTTTGTTGTTTATTCGACGGGGTGTCTATGCTGGTGCTATTATTCGCTTCACTTTGCATCTTCCCATGGATTTTCCATCGGCGGAGTTACCGGTAACACATTTCATATTGCTATTTGTTAAAGTTTATAAGGTTTTTTATCTCATACATCATTTTTTATCAACCGAAAGCTGAAATCTTTAGTATATTATAAGTGGATTTGACATAGAAACATTCATTACTGAAAAAAATCTTATGGGAACCCATGAAATGCAACCATCATTGAAGTTTAGAAACTTACGGTACCGTTATCATTTTATTAGGAACTATAATTTATATTTCATCCTTTTATGTTTTTACAGACAGTAGTTTTCGATTTGGACGTGTTTCATCCACATGTTAATCCAGCTACGCGAGAACTAGATTTGAAAAAGTATTTTGTTGACGGTTGGAAATCTGATCAGCATCATCTCTACCACATTTTGCTTATTGTACAGGTATATACTGCATCTGTTTATTTTGATTTTACTTTGTGAAAAAGGTTCAATTAGAAGGTGACGTAGTAGCATTATTTTAAAATCGTAGTAAACTATCATAAATTATACCATACGTTAGTTGTTGTAAGGATAAAAAGAGAAAAATCAAACAAGCAGGCGATTTTTTTTTTTTTTTTCAATAAACGAATTTTGTTAATTTTCAGAGGACATTTTTCACATTTGATTCAAACCCAGCGACATGCGTTAACACCGAAGCAGCAACATTACTTCGTGATAACAGAGAATTATATAGATTACGTGCCAGCGAACTTATTAAGTAAACAAAATTTTCTTTGCAAAATTATGTCTTTTCACCTCAAACCATATCATTCTTATGATGAATGATGTGCTCTGAGGGTAAAGACCTGATTTTACTAATATGTAAATAGCATATAGTATAAAACAATTTGGAGCATTTTTCATTTTTATGATGTGAAAATATTTTGTAGGAAAAGTCGGTCTGTTATATATGAACCAGTTGACGTGGACGATGCAAATGCCATTAGGTGGGTGTTACACAGTATTTCTTTAGTCATGTTAATATATATTCATCACTTGGATTTCGACTTTTGGAATTTTCAATGCAATCAATTTATCCAAATAAAACAGATAGTTGCAACATTCGTTTATTATTTTGGGGTTCTCTTTCACTCACCAATCAGACTTCTCGTCACTCTAGATCTAGATCTAGTATGCTTTATTAGGTTTAGATTAGCGGTGAAAAAAGTTAGTTGGAAAATTTTCAGGCTTATGCCATGGGATGCATCCATTCATGAGCCATTACGACAAAGGCTTATAGGTGGACTAACTGACAGTCAAATAAGTACGATGTCATTGCTAGGTTCGCTTGGTTGTGGCCTTAATAAGTCTTCGGTATTTGAGTCACGAGCTAAACGCGGGTTTTCTTGGATTTCTCCAAACGATTTATGCTACATGGTGGAACCACCGAGACCGACTGAACTTGATTTGATGGTATAGTTATATTTTCTTTTCCTGTTTTTCTCTACTGATAACTGACCTCTATGAAATGATTTGCAGATAATATCAGAAGCGGAAAATTGTACAAAGAATACGGAACCATTCCACGCTTCTTGTCCAGGTTGTTTTTTAGATGTTCTTTGCAAAATAAGTAAACCATCTCCATTATCCATATCGCAAAAACAAAGTCCTTATCAAAACTAATCTCTTATTCCTCACTTATGTCTAAGTTTCAATTAAAATGTGAAAATTATGCAGATGAATCAAAAGATCAGAGCGTGACAAATGGAAGCATCATTCCCTGTATTTCCAAATTGAATTTAAATGATGAAAGCGACTTCAAGCAAAAAGATGTGAAAGTGTCGCAAAAAGAATCCAAAGGAAATAACTTAGATCTACTGAAAGTGAGATCTTTATTTGTTTAATGAAATTAATAAGAAGGAAAGAAGAAGCAAGTGACTGCGTATTTTTCTCTTTTTTTGGTCTTGTTTTTGGTTGCTTATGATTTCTTGGTTTAAATAATGTACGTCAAATTCTATGTTTAATTTTAGTGTGATAATCTTTTCTGTGCTTTATTTATCCTTAATTTTGAACGACAGGGTACATTGCAAGAAGAGGATAGTATTAAAGATCTTATTGCCAAGAACAACGAGAAGATTGGTGGCCAAATGGAGGAAACGCCTGATGAGTGGCAAAATAAAGAACAGGAAACAAATGTGAAGCCATTTTATGAACTGGAAAAATGTGCTTACAGAAGAAATGAATACATAAAGGCTCAGCGAGCTAGTGACGTATCAGATGGAAATGTTGTCCGAACTCGATCAAGTTGGGATAGTGATGAAGTTGGAGAAAGTGATATATGATGAGGATTAATAAATTATTTATTGGTCGTTTATGACAATCGATTCCTTGTTAGTAAAGCGTTTGTTCGTGAGAAACAGTGGCGACATTATGGAATAAATAAGTATACACAATCAGCAAGACAACTTTAATTAAACATCGAACACGGTTTTATAAATGTTTCAGATTATATTTATGAGTTGTATACGAGATAAACTACTATGCCGTATGTTTATCAGGTAAATGAATGCTACAGTTCTGATGGGTTACTGTAATGCAAAGCAGAGAATAATGGTCAATGATTGTAGTTGGGAATTAGAAGTATATGAACCTCTTAGTGTATTTTTCGAGAATCATAACATTTACCACTTATTTGATTCGCCATTTGCAGTCTGATTTAGCATTGAAAAGATGAGGAATTATACAGTACTCGGTGAAATTGATACTTTTACCATTGAGGTAAGAATGTCAAAATTTTCCTTTGATGTTACTTTTCTAGGAATGATCCAAGATGTAGTACGAATGTCTTCGATTTTTGAAGTGAGTGCAGGTGCGTGAATGAAGATCTGAAGGTTAGGAAAGAGGGGCGATATTATAGATTATATGGATTATTGGTGATATTTAAATATGACGTGGATATCATTGAAATGCATTGAAATAGAGAAAGCGGTACGTGTGATGATGATATGATGGAATCGGTGACTGGTTGTGCCGGTTAAGGAGAAAATGCTGTTCTGAATGACGTCTTCTGAAACTGCTATCATCAGTACTAATAATAGCAGTACCACTACTAATAATACTACTGCTACTGCTACTACTACTGCTTTTCGAATCGATTTATTGCAGCTATAGTTTGAATTTATCACATTTGCAGTAAGAGTCTGAAGTTACGCCATATGCCACTAGTTTGTTGGCTTGTGTGAGTGAGTGAGTGAATGAGTCAGGCCAAGACTAAGTATCTAAAGAGTGTATCTGGCTGACAACAGACTCTTTCGTCGCCAAAATACAAAGAGAAAGAGTTGACAAGTAGACAGGTACCATTGCTTCATTCTCTTCCCTCTGTCACTGTATCCATCCATCCATCTTTCCTTGGTCTTGATCTTCAAACTTCTCCTTTCCTACTTTTCCCTTTTATCTTATCATTTAGGTGACAACATTCTCTTTCATCCCTCTCTGCACTATCCTTTTTCTCTATTGAAATACTATGTTATAAACAAATTTTGAAATTCAAGCCTCTTTTCATCCCTTTATTTTTGATGTCTGTGCAGACACGAACGTCTGCAGTTAACTTCAATGCTTCAATGCACCACTGAAACTATTTGATGTTGATTGGGATGATGAAGAAGCTATATTATCCGAGGGTTTTTTAGCTCGACTAACATATAATATTCTCTTCTTGGCTTATTCCATGCTTCTTTGTTTATTACCTATTTTAGCAACCAGTCGAAGAGAACTTATCAGACAGAAAATACGCATAACTTTCGATAGACATATTGTACGAATATATACCGCTTTATATGACATTTGATTACTTCAGGCAGTCTAATAATCATCCTTTTTTGACAGAATATCATCTAACTTTACTCTTTGCAATGCAAAGTTTACTTGGAATATACATATATTGCAGTGATTTTGCTTATTTTTTTTTGATGTATGGAAAAGTTGAAAAGAAGCGGAACAATGCTTTACCTGTTCCGGTTTTTCTTTTATTTTCCGGAAGATTATCCTTCTGAAATTATATATGGCTAAAAGATGTTTACTTTTAAGATGCCTTCTGCAACTCGAAAGATTATAGGTATTAGCTTCTTCACTAGCACAAGCAATTTTCAGAATTGCTTACTCAATTTCTAAAACCTTCTAAGTGGAAGTGTTTGAGGTTTTTTTTTTCTTTTATTTTTTTCAATTGTTTAGAATTTGTAACATCCTGAATAATTCTATTAGATCAGCGTCTATGTGACAATCATTTGATGAATTATTACATTTAGTAAAAGATTAAATATCATAATAATCACTTAGCTTTCCGCAGGTAATAAAACATTCAAATTTAAGTTTTTGTTGGATTATTATTGATGAATCTCAAGGAGAAAGAGTATGTCCAGGTCTGTTGTTATCAAATATCGATCATTCATCATTGCTATTATACATTAATCCTTCTGTTTTCAATTGCAGTTATTAATTCATATCTTTTGGAATAATTAATTTCTGATACGCTTCCCACATATTTTCCTCTCTTTATTATAATAATTTTCTCTATTATTTTAATCGAATATTCCATATTTGAATACCCTTCTCTGCCTTCAATTATTTCAATCCATCCTATTCTTCACACTTCTCTAGGAAATAGTTCAGTTCAAAATTTGTTCATTTTTTTTTTTAGTCCTAAATGCTCTTCTGTATTTCATTTCATTTCATTTCATTTCATCGTCACTACTGCCATTCATTCTATTGATCCCTTCTGTTATTTATGAATAATGAAGAACTCTGGCTTTCACTGAATTTTCTTCCAATCCCTTTCAATCTGTTTTGCATCATTGAATTTTGTCATCTCTATCAGTTTTTAGTGAAATAAATTGAACAGTGAACAAAATGACATGAATCTATGGAATGCTTTTTCTCCTATATATTTCTATCAATTGCTCTCTTATCATTCCATTCTTCTTATCACTCACTTTTCTATTCCTAATGATGCCATTGGTAATAAAGTTAAAAGAAGTCTGACTCATCGCTCATCCTCAACTGAAGTTATAAATAATCGCTATGCAACACAGTCATTTCCAATTCTTGATTTACTTTCAGTATGATACGGTGATAGTTAGATCATGATAACAAGATATAAGATAGGAGATAAATGTCTCTTCTGTGCACTCTTGTCAAAAACATTAAGCTAATCTGTTCATAAAATGAAAAGAGAAGATTGATAAGGGACTTTCACTTTCATATTTCAATTTAGTGCAGTGAGAAAAGACATTTTACAACATTAACATATACTATTAGGTTCTATGAGTCCGTAAGACTATCTCTAAAAATTCATCCTAGAAAGGACCCGTTGATTGGTTATTGTCAACTTATGATTGATCCACTTCAAGTAAGTAGATCTTAAATAGATAAGCAGTTTTGAGGATGTACCATTTAGTACTCCTACTACATCTTCAACTTTTTCCCAATGAAACATCCCATGTCTTGTGATATTTTTTAATTTCTTTGTGCTAATTTGAAGAATTTGTCTTTAATTAAATTGCTCTGTTGACCACTTATTTATAAATTATGATGTAAAATTGATAAATTTACCAGCAAATACTTAAAACAATGTAATTTGATATTGATATCATGAATATCTCAGAAACTGATGTAGGGTTTGTGCATTACCTTATCAATAAGAGGTGTTAAATAATTAGTTAGCCAGATTCATTGTAATTCAAAATAATTTTAACTGCTCGTATTAGATTTCTTTCAGTGAAAGATTTTTTGGATCACTTCAAATTCCTGATTCATTTTCGAAGATTTTCAGCTACGGCAAAGCTAAGTTGAAGCACTTCAAAGTGCATTAATCATTCAAGTTCACTTTCAGATTATCAATTCATTTTGGTGGTAATATAGGAAGAGACAAGCAATAATTTCGCGACATATTTTCGACGACGTTTTTTAATGTTTTTTGAAGAAAGGATCTACGTTGAAGTGACAATGCGAATTTGTTGTGTAGGGGGAGGGGGACGCCCGCTCGGCATTTCATCCCGAGTTATCAGTAGCTACCCCTCTCTCTGCTCTAAATTCCTCTAATATTATCACTACAATCGTTGGCAGTGCCTTGTAACTACGGAAAAGATTATCAGTCCGATCATTTAACAGATGATTAGTTGCTTATACAAGTAGCCTATTCAAATAATTGGTATAACGTCCAAACGTTTTCTGGCCCTTAGTGTAAGGCGTGTATGGCGCCTTGCATAAGTTCTTTAGTGGACAAGCCGATACGAAGAATCGGCCAATTCCTATTCATTGTTATGATAGTAATGCAAGGTAAGTGAAAACCATCATTTCATTTCACCTTTGACCCCAACTTTTTTGAATGTGCATGATACTGCATTGCAAGATGGAAATAAGTTTTTGCTGAAATACGAATTAGTCATATTAACTGGAGCACATGGAGTATTTCTCAATTAGCTACTTTTTTTCTGCAGAGGTGAACAGTATCGGTTGTTTCGTGTGTTTCTCATTTAATGGATCGGATCCAACCTGTGAGGACACATTCAACTCGACCATATTCCACAAAGAATTGAATAGAATTGGTGTGAGCAACTACCACTATCCTTGTTGGGCCCTCAAGAAAAAGCGCCAAGGCTTGTTTCCTGCTGACCATTGCATCAAAGTGAATGGACATCGAAGTATGATAGTATCTCTCATCATTGTTGGAATTAGTTTGAAAAAAAATGACTTAAACTTATGTGAATGAATCAAAACTGACGTAAATGTCATTCATACCATTCATTTTATGTTACCCATATTATATATGTGATATGTTAATTTCGATATTTGCAGTAGACGATGTGTCACAAACTATGGTAATTCGAACCTGTGCACTGGATTCGGGTACTTTCACTGCAGATACAGGTACCTCCTACCTATGCAATAACAATTTCATAAGTTTTGGTACTGCAGGAGAATGAAGTTGGAATACATAATATACCTTAGTTGTTTTCTCTTTCTTTTTGGAGCAAATCCCCAGATGATATTTCTAAAGAAAGATGGAATGATTTAAAAAATAAAAGTAAGCCATACTTCATAAACGGCGCAATTTCATTTGCATACCTTTCCATATGGCAGAATCACTATGCTTTATAAAATACTTCGTTATGTAAGCTACTTAATTAGCTTATAAAGAAACAACAATATGTCATTATTGCAAGTGATTTATTCCTTGTTTGCTGATTTCCAGAAATTGTGCGCATATCTCACTGCGGTCATTTCAAATACAAAGGTTATCAGTATTCTGGATGTGTACAATCCTGTGATACCGACGGATGCAACGGTGCTTCTAGGATGAGTAAACATTTGTACCTCTCCTATGTAGCATCAGTAATAGTTGTGATTCTCGCTGCTCTTCATTATCAAAATTTATCTGATTTTATGAATATGTGGTCAGAGATGACTGATAGGCTCTTCATACATGTCCTCATTTGTAATGTTTGTGCTGTATTATTACTTGTTGCGCTAAGTTACGTATCTTTGTTTATGATTGATGATCGATCATGGATATCATTTCTTGGTAGCTTCTCAGTGTTACCACTACCATTGCGGTAACACTAGCAAGAATGTTATTAAGGACCCATTGCTTTCTTTGCTAACAGATGTGGCGTAGTATCTAGGACAGGCTAGAAATCATTTCGGAAATCTATTAAACTGATTTATGACTTAATTTGTATGATTATCGATAATTATGTGCTAATTTTTGTTAATATTAATTTGGCGTCATTTCCGCATGATGTATGACGAACAAAACGTGTTTCTGTGTATTTATCCAAGTGACTAATTTTATTATGTTTCGGGTAGATGCACAATATTCTTCAAATTATATAAATAGATCAGATATCCTAACAACCTTCATTCTACAAGGTTCATCGATCTGACTTCCATCCGATATTCATATTGATGGCATCTCTCGTAAAACAAAGCTTTCAGAAAACCTTCTACCAAACTACCCATCACTTCATTTCCTCCCTGCTAACTTCTTATGTAACAGGTGACACAACGCCTAGCTTATTTTCCCCCCATCGGTACTCTGTTCAGATCAAGAACTATTGAGAGATTCGTTCATCTCCAGGCATCTAATCGAATATATGTCCAACTCATCGGAAATTTCTTGTCCCACTATTCTTATTCGAACATTTTTGTCTCACTATCTTATATTAAATTAATCCTATTTTTGAAGTATTAATCTGAAACATTAATCACCCTTTCTCTCACAGAAAGAACATTCGAATCACTTATAATTCGAATAAATTTGCTGGAACACTTTTAACTTCCATTTTTCCGTTTCTAGAATAGGACGAAAATTTCGCATCGTTTTGACATTTATGTGCATACTAATTCCTCGTGGATTTACGTAATTTTAGGTCAAACTAAATCATTCATTTCTTTGAAACATGCTGACTAATATCATTGAAGAGTAAAAAGGAGTCAAAAAATATGCAACACTTTTTTTAAGTCACAAAACTTTGAATAATTGTTCTGTTGTAAAATAATACATATGAATTTACAACTGTTGAAAATGTAATTTACAATTCGAATTTCTTTTAAAACTATACTACTTGAACAAATAACGAATAAACATAATACTTCATATTAAACTCCTTATATTTGATATAAGTGGATTATATGTGATATAAGTAGAGAGAAACTTATGAGAATATACCACTTCACGTAAAACGCTTTCCAATAAGCATAATAAGCAATGAAACATACAGTACGTAGTGCTCAACTATAGCATGAAAAGAGTACAGCGTAAAGTTAAGCAATAACACTCATTTATCCCATTACTGTCAGTTCTTGAAAGATAATTGATATAATCAATTATCAACAATAGAAAATTCATCCCCTAAGCAGCAATAAGGCCACCTGCAGTAGCTGCAATATCATCTTATGATGTCTTATCACAACCGCATTTGCTTAACTTAACACAGAACAGAATAATCAACAGAAATGGCGAAAGAGAAAATTAAAAGGTAAACGAACTAACAAGGAAATAGAAGCAGTCAGCATAACAGCAATGATTTAATGCTGTAAAATCTGCCCGTGATCCAAATGACTGAGAATCTCAACAAATTAACGGAAGAAGACGTATTATTCTGGAAAAGATGAATTCAAAGATGGTCAAATAAAGAGAACTACTAAAGATTCTTCAAGCTTTACTCAAGCAACTACGGAACTTAATCATTTCGACATTTAAGTGGTATCACTGTAATCTTAAGACTAAATGTTCTTGCTTATTCGATAAACCGGAATATGTAAATACCATGGGAAAATATTAGTCAAGATTATGTACTACCATCAACCTAGCAAGAATGTGTCAGCAACAGAAAAAGCATGCAGACTGAATGAAAACTCAATGAAAAGGTAGATGAGTACCGCAGACAAAAGGGACATGATGTGAAATAGAGAAGCACCGATCAGTGACCATACAGGATGCATTACTACCAATTAATATATTTGCATTTAAAATGCTTCTTACACAAATGATTTATGATTAAACTCTTCTTGCATCCGTCCATATAATAATTATTTGAATTTTTTATATGAAGTTTAAAATGCCAAATGATTAAACGGTTCAACATTGCCAAATATAGATTTAAAGAGAGGCTAATATAGTTCAGAAAAATGAAAAGGAATCAGAAAAATGAGCATTATACACAGCAATTTTGCGTATCCCAATGAGGGAATGGACATACAATTAATATGACTTTTCATGACTGATTTCAGCAGCAGCAGCAGTTGATTTCGTCAGGAAAGGTATTTTTTCGCTAATCCTGAAAACATATTCTTATAGTAACAATTTTTATAATCCATAATCTTTTACAAAAGCTAATTTGAGTTTAACCAGAAAAGCATCTCTAATGCATAAATAAATCACATTTGAAATTCCTTGCTTCCGACATAGTATGCTTAAATTCTCTGTACACTAATATTTTAAGGAAGGGTTCAGCCTATTAATAATTACGGAGACGAAAAAAATGACAAAATTACACACATTTTGTTTGCATTATCAATATGTTGCTTGGCTATGAAGATGTTACGATCAATAGGTTCATGGTAAACCTCATACACTTTTGGGATTGTGAAGACTGCTAATATAGCTGAAAAGGATTTTAGTAATATAAAAATAAGTGCCATAACATCCTATACTTTCTTCCAAGCTTCTTAGAGGACCACTTCGGCAGTCACAATAATAGGTAGTCCTATTATCACTGAGGATAAGGAAAGAATAAGTGATAACAACCATGCGTGAGAATAGGAAAATAGGGCTATTCACTAGTTAGTTTTTTTTTTTTTTTGCAAAATCCTACAGAATGCATTATAAAATCTAACATCACATTGAAATTCATTTCATTTATTCTAAACCATTAACAGAAAAAAATAAACAGTAACTCACCAAGGATTAATAGACTGAGACCAGAGAACCAGCAACTGACATATGTGAGCGCCCAAAGTAAAAGACCAAACTGAAATAAACTACATGCCAATAAAGTTTTAAGTGACCTATTCACCTATGCCAAACAAGATGAACAATGTCTGAATAGCAAGTGACGTACGTCAGATCAAAGCGCATTTTTTTTTTTATCAAATAATAATCAATATCACATACTTCACAGACCTCAAAAGTCCAAACTTGAAGGCATTTACCTAAATTTTAGAAAAAAGAAAAACAAGAATTACCTTGATGCTATCCACAATACTTTCTACCAAAAATAACCGCCTCAGCTTGTTACCAATAAACTGCACATGCTCAATAAGTGCATCCATCTGCTGATGCACTTTTTCTTTAGGTAAATGAAACTCCCGGTCCTCCAAATATGTCCTGAACAAAGCTGCTTACAGGATTTGACACAAACAAAAACGCATCCAGCCGATATATACATAATTCATTCCAATACTAACGTTGGTATAACGATTCAATAACACTTTCACACGCGAATCCATTATCCACCAATCATTATGCCACCTCTTGATTTTTTGAACACATTGGCCAAAAATTCTAAAGCTTAATCCAGAAATGGCTTTTCCCACTTACCGATATGGATTTCCGCCATCTGTTTTCCTAATCTGTGCTTCGATCAACTTGTAAATACGAAAACCAAGAGTACCGCCAAGGACTGACAGTCCAACATAACTAAGGACTGCAATCAAAGGAAATTTCGCGAGCACGAGTAGCGCAAGAAGAGTAATAGCAAGTATTGCACCAGATTTCTTTGGATCACGCCAATAAACTATATCCAGAACTGGAAAGCGAATTGTGCGCTATTACATGCATTATCAAAAACCATAATGAGTGATTATTTGCTTTCCTTCCAAGATAATAATTACTAAGAGGAAATATTTTATCAGCAGAATAGGGACATAAGCTTTTCATTTCAGGATATTTCATTTGGTTACTTACCTTCAAAAAAGAAAACTGAATGAGTATCACTAGAGGAAACAAATGTTATAATTCTAACCATGAGTAATTATAAGGACTGATTTGTGTTGACAGGAATTAATAATAGTGTATATACATTCACGATCTCAGGTATATTCAGGAGCAAAAGTTAACTATGTGGGCCTTCTCTACTCCGCTTCAATATGATTCCCTTTCTTTGTTACAGCGATTTTAAACTTCAGCAGAGTAGGAAGAGGTGAAAATTGGTTCCAAACGGCAGATATGAAGAAATACGAAATTTAATATTGCAGATCAAAATCATTTAAGATGATTAAGATTTAAACTCTGTATTATGTTACAAATTCTGATAAAAATCTAATTTTCCCTAAGTGCTTTCACTCGACAATACACCAAACCAATAATGATCAAATCAAACTGGAATAGCACCTTCAAGAAGTATCACAAGCTTTATCCTTCTTAAAACTATCTTGAAATTGCTATTCAAATAATTACCATCTTGCCTTTGGAATAAAGCTCGTTTGCTAAATTGGCCTGCATGATGAAGAGTGATTAAAACAGAAGCAATCAAAGCCGTTGTGAGGCCAAAGCGAAGAATGGTACGAGTTGTTAGTGAGATCAGGGTATAAACCGCATTGAACAGGATATCAAAAATAGCTGGACTACCAGCTCTTGAATCTGCCATTATCGTGTACGACTGCTGTCAACCTGGCAAATTACACTTAACTCCAAAAACATTACATTTTCAGCCATTACAACAATTTCCGCGCACACGCAAGAAGGTGCTTGAGCATTTTTCAGAAGAATAAGTTAACACTATCTTGAAAGCAAGAATAAAAAATTGATATAATGAACAATGAATAATTACAAGACCGAAATCATCCTGAAAGACCTCGAGACCAAAAACATGGTTCTCGGTCGGCACAATTCAGAAATGGATAATCTGTGCATAATTCAACATTATTTAAAAAAAGTTCAGTATGACGAAAACTGATCTTTTTTTCACCAACCAAACTTATCTAAATGATTTATGTCGCTATCATAAAAGAAAAGCTAATATGGAGCAAAATAACTCTCGCACATAGAATAAACTAAAATGATCCTACATATAACTATTGCAACTCTAATTATTACTATTACTATTGTTATTATT